AATATCAGATTGCTTTAATAATCTGAAGGAAAACTATTGGTATGCAAAAAGATTCTTCTTTGGAATGTTTTATTTGCCCAAAACATTTGTTGTGGTATACTTCTTCAGAATTTTTTAAGTAATCTTAACATTTTCAATGTAACTGTAGGAGTGAAGCAAACAATTTTGAATGCATCTTACCATTTGTTAATAAATGTTCATTATAATGTTTCAGTGTTTACATTTACTTTTTTTGGAAGTGCTAGTACTTCTAATGTTCACAATAAATGTTAATAATTTCCAAAGATTTGCTTTACTATCCCATATCTAGAGCCTGCATATATTTAGTTTTTAAATATGAACTACAAATGCCTTGTAGAATATTGATAATCTGTGCACATTTACCTTAATGTTTCTCTTTATGCAATTCTAACTCTTCCTCTCCAAGATGAATATTTTTTTTTTTCAGAAAATTAATTAATAAGTTGTAATAAGCAAGCTGAGATACAAGTAAAGCAATATCATACTCAGATATATTACTTTTCAATTTCCATGCTGTTTGCATGAATTAAGTAATTTCAGAATACAATGACATTGATTCTGCATTTTTACTTAAATTGTTCTTAAGGATTGATGTATTTAAATCTGCCTATAAAACAAGCATCTGATTTAAAGAAAGGAATTCACTGTACTTCTGGGCAAATGCAGAGAAGTCTTACATTTAGCAGTGTTAAAGAATATTTCTTTGATGTAGTACCTTGACTTGAAATACTGTGATTTGCAATTTTATAAAACAACTGTCACAGGGTCTTCAGCATGGGATATTCTGATTCCCAACACACTTCCTTTGCCAATCCCTTGCTCGTTGTTGCTGTGGGGGGGCTGAGGAGGTGAAGTTTAAGTCCCAATATAGGGATCACCCCTGCCTTGGACCTCAGCCCTCACTTCAACTAATTTTGAAGTCTTTTCTTCTCCCTCTTTCCTTATCCTTCTCTTCTTCATCCCCTTTTGTCTACTTATCCAAATCGTTAACTCATAGTTACCCTCTTCGCCACAATACTTTACCATAGTGCTGTGTAACCTTTGATATCTGCTACATTTGTTTGTTTTGACCATTAACGTTCAGGAAATCCACAAGTATTGTCTTACTGAACCAAAAATCTTTATTACCTTCTTTTTTTTTCTTTCTTTTTTGCTATATTTTGTATATGCTGCTAATTACAAATAGATATCAAGGGGCTGACTTTATTCCAGTTTTATGTAGACTAGCTTTACCTGAACCTTATTTGTGACCCAGGCTCTTCACAGCTATTTAAAGCTGACTGATGTGAATAGCTAAATCTTGATAAATAGAGATGAGAGAAACAAATAATGTGGAGAAAAAAAAGAGAAAATATAATTCTGAAGCACTTACAAGGTATTACTAAAAAAAAATTCTGGAGAAAGAAATCTGACATTCAAAATATCTACATTACACAATTTTCCTTAGAGATGTTATCAGCTAGCAAACATTAAACCATTCATTCTGGGGAACAGTGTGACAACAGAGCTGAAAGAAGATAGACAAATTGAAGTCAGCAATATTTTCAGACTTAAGTCAACAATTATATTTTGTTTTAACAACTAGTGAGCTTCGTTACATACCCTGACAAGATTCTAGTGGTTACTAGTGGATTTTGAAAACTTATGACAGGTTGCAGATAGCCTAGGGACTAGATTTTGGTGGTGATCCTGATCTGTGTGTGGATTTAGGATAGATCTATAGGATCTTAAAGGGCTAATCATGTGAGTTCTCTTCTAAAAATGTACATTCTAACTTTCATTCTGCTACTTTTTGGTCTGTTCTTCTCCTGGGAAGGGGGGGTCAACTTCTTCTAAAAGAACCAAACTTGCCAAAGTTTCAGCATATACAGCATTTCTGAGGGAGGGGCAGGAGAGAGAGAGAGAGAGAGAGAGAGAGAGAGAGAGAGAGAGAGAGAGAGAGAGAGAGAGAGAGAGAGAGAGAGAGAGAGAGAGAGAGAGAGAGAGAGAGAGAGATTGTGTTTTCAAATAAAATATGTTTACAAATAAAATATGTAAATAGCTTTTAATTTCATAGGCTATAAAACAGATGGTGGGAAACAATAAAGTTAAGTACTCGTTTTTTTTCTGAGAGCACTTTCTCGTGTGCAATCACAGGGCACAGGTAGGGTACCCTTTGCGGGATGTTACCACTGAGGATCAAGATAATAAATTTCCTTTCGGATTTGCAATCACTATTTTAGTAAAGTTTTTATTGTATGTTTGAGTCCCAACAGTGATGTCATGAAAAGCTTCCTTGTTTATTCTATCAATATATCACACAAAATGGGAATGTCTTCTCAGTCTTGTCTGTGATTTTCAACCCTGAAATTATCTGTGGATTTTCTTTTCAATTTTCTTTTCATGGTTGACAGTTATATCTACAATTTGAATATTCCACAACTTATTAGAATATATATATTGGTGATTTTTTCACAATGCATATTTGACAGGCTAATGACAACTTTTCTTATTGTTAAGAATAGTTAATGGCAATGCAACTCCATGTTTCCCACAGAAATGATGATCTTATTACATAAAATACGTGATTGGTGGGATTAAGTAGTTCTATTTGCACATGTGCTAGAAGAGAGAATTATTAAAAGGAAAGAAGGAAAAAATCCAATGTACATATGTACAAAGGGCTGAGAGATTTGGTAAAAAACAGAGGAACAATTGACATTTTATATTTATATATGCAGCATTTATAAGGGAACAATTTTAAAAGGAAGTACTTTGTGTTACCCGTAAAACTGTAAATGAAGAGTAATTGTTTCTAGAACTGCAATGTAACCAACACATTTTTTTATAAAAAGGCCTGCCTTTTTAAACCGGAATTTAGGTACTAGAAATTCCGGGTGGGAAAAATATTTGACACAAAATTTGCTAATTTAGTCAGCTAATATAATCAGGATTTAATGTTTTCGGGTAATTTGCAAAAAATTGTTTGTCCTTTGATTATATCGCCAACTTGAAAACTACTTAAAATACCTCCGAGTAAATTATTTGATACTTTTTATCACCCACATATATAAATGAAGAAAACATGCTATCTGCATTCAAAAACAATTATGGAAAAAAGTAAGAATTGGAATATTATGCGCCACCAGTTAATATATCCATTTATTTACACATTTTGTTTTACTTGTACATCAAAGAAAAGTAGTGATCGCTAAGTTGATGTATCTTTCGCTCTCCCTCAGGTGGGCTCGCCGTTCCGCTTCACCTGTCACCATTGCTCCAAGAACTTCTATCACAAGAATGACTTCCGAAAACATGTGAGGGTACATACAGGAGAGAAGCCTTATGCCTGTCCATACTGCCCGTATCGAGCAGCGGTCAGAGCAAGGCTTCGAAGTCACATGAGAAGCCGGCATGGTTCTGACTTGTAACTGGCAGCATGAAAAAGAGAGTGTCTTTACTTGTTGTAATGAAAGCATTTAGGTAATGCCAGTGTCGTGGTGCCATACTGATTGATCTGCTCGCAGCTATGGTATAAGAAACGAAAAGGTGTTTGCAATCCCGTAAATCAAAAGTGGATTGGAGAATTTCAAACATCTATGAACTTATTTCTAACTTTGCCCCCCAGCAAGACTTTGATGTAATTCGTATTCCACATTTTATTTTTTCATTTATATATGACTGTAATCTTATAGAAATTACATAGATAAACGTAGATTTGAAAAGGGACCAAGTGATAAACTTCATAATTTAAAGGAGAAAATTGTAAATTCATTGGCAGCGTTAGTTTCACGATACCTGCTCAAACGGCGCCCACACGAACCCAGTGTGTATCAGTGATTTGCCAGACTGGATAATTATTTAAATCCAACACACCCTAGATTTTCATAATACTGGAAAAATATAAACTCTATACGATAGTTGTCTTGTTTTAGCGTGTAGTCTAGAAGCCTTTGTAACTGGTCAATAAATATATGTGCAATACTCCTACTATGTAGTTTCCATCACCTATATTCTAATGCTTATTCATTTACTTTCCTTAGATCTCCGTATACGAGGATTTTGCGTGATCATTTGCATTATAGCACAATCAAACCGTCCACAGGGATCGCTTTTTTATTATTTTTCTTCGCAGAAAGTACACGTTGGCTGTGGTAAGTATCAGATGACTAAAGTATATTCTTGAAAGCATGAAAATGTTAGGCGACCAGGCGAGTGTTTCCATATTGCCATCTTGAAGTTCTATGTGATTTCTTGTAATTGAAGCTACAAGTACAGACAATATAGTACAGCAATATAAGCATCTTCAAGCACAGGGAACATTTACTTTCCAATTTACAATGGAAAGAAATTGGAAAAATTAAAGAATGTAAGGTACTAGAAGGAAGTGATAAAACAAAGAGAAAATCAGAAAATGAACAGACCGAACAAATGGAAATTAAACGTAACGAGAGAGAGTATGAGAGAGAGAGAGAGAGAGAGAGAGAGTGAGTGAGTGAGTGAGTGAGTGAGTGAGTGAGTGAGTGAGTGAGTGAGTGAGTGAGTGAGTGTGTGTGTGTGTGTCAGTCAGACAGTCAATTAGTCAGACAGCCTGTCTGCCCGTCAATCAGACAGAGATGGGGGAGTTACGCGAAGGACAGCCATAAAGGATTATAACGCAAGGAAGTAACATTTATACCTCTGAACTTACCATTGGTTTATTCACCTACAATGGCACACAGATTAACCTCGAGAAAAGCATTAGGGATTAACCTTTTAGATCACAATTAACTTGTGCTCTGATGAATTATGAATACTTTGATTTATTGGATATCCATGAGATTTTGCAGAACAAGTATTAATGCAAGAAATACTAGCTGTAAGACTTACCTTTAATAGTGAATGCGAGAACAGATCACTAACTCATATTCTACATGTATCCCACTATATTTTATACCTCATCATTGTCTTGTATGTATATTATATTAGGAGTATATTTTATGTTAGGCTTAAAACTTGTTAACACGACATAAAAAAGTCCCAAGTACGCCTCATTTGACTCATGCCATGTTTATTTCTCTTCAGCTCGTACACTCGATGGCTCGTGCATCTGCAGCCGTGCGGCATCGTGGCCATGTGTGCGCCATCTGCAACAAGGCCTTCGAGACGCGGTACAAGCTGGAGCGCCACCAACGGACTCACACTGGAGAGAAGCCCTATGCTTGTCCCTATTGTCCCCACCGATGTAATCAGCGCGACAATCTCAAAGCCCATATAGCTAGTAGACACAAAGAATTCTACGATCCAGTTAGCTTTGAATTTAAATGACTGGGTGTCCGTTCACAGCGGCAGGGAGGTTAGGGTTAATAATTATTACAATAAAATTATTTAATAGCTGAATTATCCATAATTAAATGTATTCTGTATGTTAATTTTTATTATTTATGGCGCCCATAATTTAATGGTTCAGTGGTCCCGGATTGAATGTTATATTTACAATGTATATTTGTGCAATGAGGTTTTCTTAACACTTCAAATTTTAAACGATTTTAGTGTAGCTAAACCCTGGTTGTTTTGTAAATTTCAGAACAATGGCACTTCATGTGATTTCACAGTCATTGCAAAATATGAATATAATAGAAATAACAATTGAAAGGCAATAGCAGATCCTAATATTTTCAAGGGGCATTTTTTAAGCTTTTATGCTATGTATTATTGTATGTATGTTGTTCTGTTATGGCTTGTTGGCTGTGTTTTACTATGTAATAAATTTTTTTACTTATAAATGTTTTCTTCCCTGCACTATAGACCTACATGAATTAGGAATGTAAACAGGAAGACTGATATAGGCATTTATTGTAGGACAAATCTCAAGACAATGCAGGTTAGAATTTAAGGATCCAGTCCACTCACCACATCGACATTGGGCAATATTTAGACATAGTGGTTGTTGCGGTGGCGAGGTAGTAGTGCGACTGCGTAACCGTCCTGGTGTGGCCAGGGTATGTGATGAAAATAGGCGTTATAGATTGAGTAATGGTCTGGTAGATCGTGTAACAATGGGTTGTGGTGGAGAAGCAGTTATCCCATGTGGATGCTGTAAATATATCTGTAAAGAAAGTGGAAGTAGAAGTGGTATGGGAGACGGTATTCACTTCGATAACATCTTGCGTTACGACAGTTTCATGTAGCTTCGTGATATCAATTGTTGTCGTCAATGTTGTAGTTGATTCTAACACTTCTTCAACGTCAATGATAACCACGTCTGCTTCATAATCGTCATGTAGAGCGGCTGGAGGGCGATGCACTTGGATTTTATCTGTGTGAAAAGTCTGCTTTCGATAAGAAAATCCTGACGCGGGCAACTTTCTCTCGTCATACATATGAAATGCAATAAGATCTTCAAGTAGTAAAAACACTGTACTCACCTGAATCACCCGCCAGAACCACGCGGGTTATTGCTATAGCTATCGCAGCAACTAGACCGTAGAACCTTGAATAGAGGAAGGGGGGGGGTTAACATAAAAACTTAGATTCCATAATTATGGATATGATCCATAACCGCATTCACACATGTCATAACCAGATGTTACTTACTTCATGACAGGAACCATCAGGATATGGACTGACTATTGTTATGGAACTACTTTTTTATATAGCAATCTGCGCGCCTCTATAACCTTTCCCCGTGACCAACTAAGGAGGTAGTTTCCACCTGGTGTAGGTTTACACTTAATAGGTGATTGGGATAGGCTAACGCAAGATTCTGCCAAAAGTCAAAATATAATTGTTGATTATGATCGTCTCTTTTTTTTCGAAATATAGCCCCAAACTACATAAATCGTCATTGCTTTATATATTTTTTTATGTTTACACTAGGTGGTGATTTTTACGGTCAACTATAGAGCAATATACGATCGTCGCAAGTTGACCTCGAGGTATAGAACCGTACGAATTTTAGTGATTATAGCTAATAAATATATATAAAAAACAGAATGCTTTTATACTTCCATACTGAACTGTATACTTACATCTGTAGCTGACAGGGAAATGTAACGTGTAGAAGGGCGTTGAATAAATTTCCGTGTTACAACTAGTTTCATTAAAATAATAATAATAATCTATGTATCGTATAAAATACATGGAAGGTTGTATTCTACAAAAACATGAGAAATATAAAATGAAATTGTAGATACCAAATTGCACAATGCCATAATATGAATATTTCTGATATTAACATGTAATTTTCCGCATAACTAATTTGCGCAATATGTTCATGGCCCAGGGGTCAGAAATTCAGTTGTGATATGTTGCACTATGAGGATTTCCTTTGTTATCCATTATTTTATGAGTATCATCGGTCGAAAGTAAGATATGAATAAACTCACATCAACAATCATTGTGTGACTGTAGATATGCTTTATACCCATAGACTAGAAAGTTGCATAATTTACTACAGTAAGTCTTGATATCGCCATGCCATCTAAAGGTGTTACTATCGCCGGCAGGAGAGACGTACCG